GGCTTCCAATTACAGAATGAATAAGTCACAGGGATAAAAGGTACAGCATAAGGAATATCAATGGTGCTGTAATAATATGTGTGACAGTTATACTTGTAGTGAGCATAACATACAGCATACATTACTAATGTAACATTGTGTGTCAGCTTTATTTCAATTGAGAAAATGGAGGATGAGATGAAAAGGATGTAAAGAGGGAAACTACATGGTAGGGCTGGGCCATGAGGATTTATGGGAAAACTAAAATTATAATCTAACACATTTCCCAGAGATGGAATATGAGACCATCTGACCTTTGGGAATGACTGAAAGGTCAATTCCCTGAGTTGCTTCCATGTTTGACTGTAGTTCAATTCTGATTTCAGTTTATATATTTTTATAATCCTACCTTCCCAGACATTTCCCCCTCCTTGAGGTAATGAGTTCCTTATAGCCAAAAGAATTAACCAGAAACAAATGAAATTATTGTCATTGAGACTTTCCTCCTTGAGCTGGATATAAATACACTCCATCTTCCACTCCTACTCTGTGCATGCAGTCAGTGTGCACTGTGCACAGGGATCTGACAGGCAGCCATTATCCATTCGGGCAATGTCATGCTCTTACTGCTTTCCCTTGGACAACTGGGAATTGTAGAACTGTCAACATTTAAACATGGCCCAGATCTCCTTTAAGTGCCTATGTGAGGAATGTATGGTATCTTTGCATTTAATGGGTGAGCTAAGTATTTCTGGATTGAATTGAATTGCATGTGTATTTCCTACTTAGCTTTTCCTGTGCAAGGAAAACACTACCAGCTGAGATTGCTTTGGGGGTAGTTGAGGGGAAAAGGCCCTACTGTGTCCCTGTCTTGGCCTTAACCGTCACTTTTGTACCTTGCTTGCTTGAAAGGTATGAGCCCGTATAGCTCAAGACACTTGGAATTGTTTGGAGAAAGGTGTTGTCTTCTGCTAAGCTAAGCTCTAGGATGTTGACTTGCTGTCTCCTCCTTCCTGTCTCCTGACATTCCCTGGCTCTTCCTCAGAGCTGGTGCTATGATGTTATTATGTAATAAAGGTATACTCATTTGGTCTTTGTCTCTGTTCCTCACACAGAGCTCCTAAAGCCCTTGTGATTTCCTAAGAGATAAGAATATCGTTCTGTGCTAATGATATGACTGGTGGTTTCAATTTCCTAGATAGCTGCAGGATGGAGGCTGGTCGCCAAAGAATGTTTAGAAGACCAGAACTTTCAGTCCCACCCCTTGACCTCTAGGGAGGGAAAAGAGTGGGTGGTTGAGTTAATCACCAATGGTTAGTGATTTAATCAAGCATGCCTAAGTAATGGAACCTCCTTAAAAACCGTAAACAACAGGGTTCAGGGAGAGTCCAGGTTGATAAACACACACACATGCCGGGGAGGTGGCCCATTCCACCTTCAGCGGGACAGAAGTTTCTGAGCTCTGTACCTTTCTGGACCTTGCCCAATGTACTTCTTCATCTGGCTGTTTATTTTTCTCCTTTGTAGTATCTTTCCTAATAAACTGGTAAGTGTAAGTAAGTGTTTCTCTGACTTTTGTGAGCCATTCTAGCAATTAATCATAACTGAGGGAGTGATTATGGGAACTGCCAATTCGGTAGTCAAGTTGGACAGAAGTGTGGGTATCCTGGGGACTCATTAGTTGCAGCTGTCATCTGAAGTGGGACAGTCTTGTGGGACTGAGCCCTGAAACCTGTAGAGTTGGACAGTTACTCCAGGTAGTTAGTGTTAGAGTTGAATTAAATGATAGGACACCTACTTGGTGTTCAGAGAGTTAGAAAATTGGTTGATCCCCACCCCCAGTTTGGTGTCAGAAGTAATGTGAATAGAGAAACAGTTTTCCTTTAATAGTAAATATTTATAATACAATTATAAAATATTTATAATGTATTATTTATGACAATAAATATACTTAGGCACATGGCAGATAGTAATGAATGTGAAGAGTAAATCAGGTAGTGATTATATAATGAGCAATTTTATTAAATACAGTTTCATTCAACCTTGTGATTTTCCTTTTTTTTTTTTTTAAATTTAGGGGTAACCCATTTTCTAGGTACATTTATTTATGGAGAGAGGCACCTTGTAAATATGTATGGGGATATAAATAACGCCCTTTGTACTTTATCTCATTTAATCCTTCTAAGAATACTACAGGTAAGTACTTTATGGATGAAGAAATTGAGGCTTAGGCTCATTAATGGACATTGCCCAAGGTCTGCTAAGAGACAGATCTGAACCCATACCTGATTTATTTCAAAACCTGTAATCTTCCCAACTTGAGGTAAAGATAATGGGAATAGAAATGAATTATTCTAGTATTAGTCTGAAGTGACTTTAAAACTTCCATTTAGTTCTTTTCTTTATTGTGTAAAATTGATAAAAATTTAAAAACTCATCTTCAACAACATTTCATTTCTTTAAAAAATAAAAAAAAAAAAAACCAAACTCCTGAACTTGGAGGCATTGGCTGGTAACTGCAGGTTTCTGAGGGCATAACTCATTGTTCCTTATCAGGTGGTAGAAAGGATTTTTTCTATTGCCTTGGCTTGAAGTAATTGCATATCTATCTATTTATCTGAGCAATTAATCAGAGACCTAAGTAATCAAAGCAGCAGCCAGAATTCCCATGCTGGACTTTCATGCTACATTGAAGCATGCTCAGCACTTTAAATGATTTCTTACCCAAGCAGTACAAAACCACATGAATCAAATGACCAAGTACTAGCTATAGTAGGGGATGATTTACCCATCCCAAAGAATGCATTTCAGATGACTTTGCAGGAAATATAAAGAAAATGATTACAGTAAAGATATTTTTAAACTGAAAATCATTCAATGGTTTATATTCCTAGAATGACTCTACTGTGGGCTTTCCATTTATAGTCTAAACATTATGTTTTATAGAAGCAACAGGTGTAATCAATTAATTTAATAAAAAAGAAAGCTTCCGTGAAACATCTTTGTTTAAAAATGTGCATTTTTACATAGCTCAGAATCTATTTCATGGGCATTTTCCTTAGTTGTCTGTGAATGGGTAGGAAATAAAGGACAGACCTATCTATGGCTTCCACTAACCAAGATGCAAAAAACAGAACTGCCTCTGACCAAAACATTGAATGGCAGGTTTATGTTGAATGAGAAACTGTTTCTGTAAGATTCAAAATCAATTACAACATTAACTAGTAATGAAAATTTCAATTACTGTTGAGCTGCCTAAAGCATCTCTCAAAACAAAATTGAGGTTCAAGGAATTTGAATTTGCGAAGCTGGGTGCAAAGCTTGAAAGACTTCCATAAGGCTTTTTCTTATAGGTATATGCTATTAGTTCTGCACAATGATTTATAAAAGTCAGTGGGAGAATATAACTTAAAAATCAGGAGTTTTGCTTTCTCTTGAAAAAAAAAAAATGTGGCAACATGGGGCCTTTCTGTTGAGGTGTGTGCTTTCCAGTTTTCCTCATTCCCTTCCACCTAAAGTGTGTACAGATTCTCCTCCACAGCTGACTTAACTCATTTAACACTACCTGTCTAGTCTGGTAGGCATTTCAACCCACATTCAAAGGACTGCTTCCTGGTAGTTCCCAGCACACGTGGCCATATGTGACTTTTGTCTTTTGAGACACTTTCTCAGTGTTCTAGAGATGATGATTATTACATTTGCAGTTTGGCCCCATTATTATTTTTATTTAAACTCAATTAGCCAACATATAGAGCATCCTTAGCTTCACATGTTGAGTTCAGTAATTCATCAGATGCATATAATACCCAGTGCTCATCACATCACGTGCCCTCTTTAATACCATCACCCAATTACCCTGTCCTCCCACCCACGTCTCCTCCAGCAACCCTCAGTTTAGAAAGTGTCTTTCAACTAACATCTTCTTTTAAGAAGATAGAAACGTTTTAAAATGTATGTGTGAAAGCATAAGGAAAGTGGCAATTTGGCCCTGTGATTAACAGATCTCAGAGACTTTTTAAAATCATCTGGGCCTTAAAAGGAAAAAGCCCTTGGCATGAAGAAAATAGAAAATAAAAAATAGTGACATTAAAATTATGAAAATTGGTAGCATTATTTGTTCTGAGGTATTTATGTGTTAAGAAAGGTTTGGAACAAACCATAACAAAATGAGGAGAATCCAAGACAATCTCAGTTATATGGAGAAATTAGCTCCTGTAAGGGTGGGAATGCAATAGGAAATTCCATGCTTTAGCATTGTCTTTCTTATCTCTTCGTGTGCTCCCCGGGCCAGTGAATAAGGCCAAAGAAAAACAGAATTCATAGTAATGAGATTCTGAAGTAAAGGTACATCCTCCTATAATTTAGCATGTTAGAACTGGATATAGAAGAGTGTAGAGTGGTCAGGTTTAGCAAATACCAATATAGGTTGTTGCCTCATTAAATGTAAATTTCAGATAAACAACAAATTCTTTCATAGTATAAATATGTTCTATACAGGATTTAGGGTATATACTATGGTGTGGTCCCCCCACACCCAAATTCAGATGTTGAAATCCTAAAACCCAGTGTGAGGTATTACAAGGTGGGGCCATCAGGAGATGATTGGATCTTGACAGTAGAGCACTCACGCATGGCATTGAATGCTGTTATAAAAGAGGCTCCAGAGAGCTAACAAACCTGAGAGGTAGATACTATATTACCTCCTTTCAGTATAGGTAAGGAGGCTGAGTACCAAAAAGAAAATGAATTTGCCCAAATGACAGAAATGGCAGAGCCTAGGTTTGTATTTCAGTACTGACTTTAAGTAAGTGGAGTATTAGGTAAATCATAATTATTTATTGAATACTAAGTACTTTATAAATATGTCATATAATTTTTACAGTAGTCTCATGAAGTAGACACTATTACCAGAGATTAAAACATATCTGTATGTTCTTTGTAGGGGTAGAAATTGTTAGAAGCACTTGTAGGAATAGAAGCGCCTTACAAATGACTGCAGTGGTGAGAAGCTCAGAGTATATTACTTTTCAAACATTAGGAATTACATCAAGTTTTATACTTTTAGAGAAAAGAAGGAGGGAGGTGGGAAAAGGAAAAATTTTCAATTAGCAATAATCGCGCCTCAGATAAACCTCATTGGCTATGATACTGTCACTGTACAAAGCACAGAATTAGGAAAGAGAGAAAGAAACAAACCAGAGCAAGTTCATTTATATGGTAAATGATTTGCAGTTTGTATCAGGTACAAATTTATATTCTACCAGTATTTCCAATGGCAGTCATGTATGTCTTATGATTCCATATTTACAAAGCTCAAAATCTATATAACATAGGTGTTTGTATAGATACACACACATATATATACTTACACATATTTATAACATTTTATGTATTTTATTATGTATTTTATTTTATTATATATTATGTATGTATATGTTCTATATACATATTATATATATTATTTTATTATGTATTATATATGTATATATTCTGACACAAAGATAGCTCTATACAGATCTGAGAGTGCTCATATCTAGTTAGATATGAGAAAAGAAAAGAATGAGAAAGAAAAGAATAGAGAGGTGGAACTAGCTCACTGATAGTAGTTTAGCCTGCCAATGAGCTTGAGACCCCAAAATGGTATTATCCGTTTCTGGGCCAGTGACAATATAATCTACTGCCTCTGGATAAACAAAAACTTGATGTGGACCTTTGAGTCTACTTTTATCAAAGATTACTTATTTCTTGGGGTGTCTGAGTGGTTCAGTTGGTTAAGCGTCTGCCTTTGGCTCAGGTCATGATTCCAGGGTCCTGGGATTGAGCCTCACATCTGGCTCCCCACTCAGGTGGGAGTTTGTTTCTCCCTCTCCTTCTCCATCTACCCCTCCCCCCACTCTGTCCATGTTCTCTTGGTCTCTTTCTCTCAAATAAATAAATTAAAAAAAAATCTTAAAAAAAGCTTACTTATTTCTTAAAGACAGAATCTTATTTCTGAATATATCTATATCTGTATCTATATCTATATCTATCTCAAAGAGCAGGTTTTTATTATTTTTGTTTGCCCTTTGTTTTAGGATCTCAGAAATTATGGGTGTCCCCCTTGTCTTGGCCAGACTCTAGTTCTTTGAATTGCAAAGGGAAGTAAATGTGAGGACACTAACAGACAGAAAATAGTCAGAAGTTTTCATGTGACCTTTTTTCCCCTATTTTTTAATGTAGTTCTCAAAGCTTTTTAGATCCCTGCTAGAAAGTGAAGGATTTCAAGTGTCTGAGGGTCTTGTGTCAAGCTTTTGTTAAATGTTAATGTTTGCAATGGAAAATCAGAAGGCAATGCAAAAACTTACTGCCAGATTATTGTGGGAAATTTCTGTATCCTCCTTCTCCAGCAATTTAGAACTTTTCCAGCGTCCATAAGGCAGAGGGCATGGCTGAGGAAAAAATTTTACTGAGACTCTAGGTTTTAATCCTACTGCTCTTTTGCTCAGCTCAAACAAGGATAAAATGTAATACCTTAAAAAAAAAAAAAAAGGAGAAGCATTTGCTTAAGTAGTTTAGGGCAACTTCATGTTATACAATGAAGTATGCCTGAAGCAGGATGTGGGATGTATGCATTCATTCTCCCTGAGGAAAATATGTAAGAATCGAACATGAAAGAATGCAGTAGTTGGGGCATATGGATGGCTCAGTCAGTTAAGCACTGACTCTTGGTTTCAGCTCAGGTCATGGTCTCATGATCCTAGGATCGAGCGCCAAGTTGGGCTCCACGCTCAGTGGACATCTGCTCTAGATTCTCTCTCTCTCTCTCTATGCCTCTGCACCCTTCCACCCTGCTTGCATGTGCACAGGCGCCTGCATGCTCTTTCGCTCGCTTGCTCGCTCTCAAATAAGTAAATAAATACAAAAATCTTTATTAAAAAAAAAAGAATTCAGTGGTCTTAGACAATCCATCCTGGGAATAAAAGTTTACTAATATTTTCTTTTCTCTTAATCAGGAAAGAAAAGTCATTATGTGGCATGGCCATAGATGGTTCAGGTCCATAGGGTACATCTTCTGTTACCCCAAATTCCCCATTACATTTCATTAATTCTGTTTTATTATTGAGAAACTTAGGCTTAAAGAGGTCAAGTAAAATTGCTTAGGATCGTATACCTAGCTAATGACAGGACTCCTCAGATTTGTTTAATTCAAAGGCCAAATGCTTTTCCCGTATATCCTTTCCTAGGACAAACTGCTCAGCCTTCCCAGCTTCAGTTTCTTTACCAGTGAAACTGTGATGCTGTTACCTGCCTCGGTGGGCTATGGTGAGGATTAGAGATAACTGATGTAAAGTTCTAAGTACAGTGACCGGGCTGTAGTTATACTTGCTAAGTCCGAGGTTTCACTGTTGTTAAGCAGGTAACAGATAAGTGGTCAGAACATAGTGTCAAGAAAGTTTAGTAGGAGGCACTAAACAGAGGTCTAGGTAGATAGGTAATAGGTTTCATGGAATTCTGAAGATTAACAGTAGGAGCAGTTGGTTCAGGGGAGGGACAGACTGAGAATGAACAAGAGAAATGGCCTTTTGCAGAAAGTGAAGGCAGGAGTGTAGAAAGGAGGTAACTAAACTCACTCCATCCAGAATGAATTTGACTTTGAATGAAATTTCTTGGAAACAGTGGAGATTAGCACTATAATTCCATTGATATTGTTCAAGTGTTTGCTTGCTAAATAATTGAAATGATTAAATGGAAAATAATATATTTTCTAATAGAAGAATCCAGTCTTTTTTTTTTTTTTTTTTTTTTTTTTTTAAGCCACAAGCATGAGAACAGCAGAAGTCACTGTTGGCTTTTCTTTCTTCTTTATTTTTTATCATGGTCCAGATTTGGGATTGAAATAATTTCTAATTTGTTATTTCACACCTAATCAGGACTAGAGTTTTCTTTCACTTTTTTTAATGCAGTATAATACAAGTTTGACATTAAAAAAAAATTATATTGTGTGACAGCAGCAAGAGTACTTTTGTATGTGGCTACATAACCTGCCAAAGAATTTGCATCAGGCCTTTCTGAAGTGCTGTCATTCTCATTCACAATAAAGGCCCTCACGCCCCTCACTGTCCTACAATAAAGGCTGTCACCCAGTCAGCACCAATTTCATCCGTGTATGAGTTGGCAGCGATACTGCTGATGCGTGTCAAGCTCTTGTTAAATTCACTGTGGGTCAGCTACCTAAATGTTTCTTTTAAATGATTCAGTCATAAAGCACAGGTCCTGAACTACCTAGAGAAGTGTGGCAAATGGCATCTTTATGATGGATGCATTAGGAGCCTGATAAATGAGGGTAGGTGCTGAATTTACACAAGTACCTGTAAAAATGAAGTAGTGGAAATTTCTAAAAATGTATTTTGTGTATATGTACACACACATGTACATGTATGTACATATGTATATATGTGTTATATATGTATACAATATATACATATATGCATGTATATATACACATGTATATACACACATATGTATATGTATATATGTATATATGTATATATGCATACATATATGTATGTGTATATGTATATATGTATATGCATGTATACGTATGTATATGTATATGTAATATATACATATATATGTATATAATATATATACATACACATATATAATATAATATATACATATACATACATATGTATATGTATGTATATGTATATATACACGTGTGTGTGTGTGTGTATATATATGTTATTTCAAAGACATTTGGTTTGACAAGTTACTGACTCTCTCCTGTAAAAAATGAGATGGTTTTAGAGTCTTATTGAAAGGGTTCAAATTGTCATTCACTCATTCATTCATTCATCCATCCATCCATCCATCCATTGATTGATTGATTGGTTGATTCATCAAACTTTCCTTGAGCTAAGTGCTGTACTAAGGACTGAAGATACAAAGACAACTCAGACTTAGCTTCTATCTTCTTGGGTCTCACAAGTTATTAGAAAAAAAAATTTCATTGGAATAACAAAATCGATCATTATTCTGTTTTTGAAATTTCCCCTTTTCTTGATCTCATAAAACAACTTACTTGGCTTTGCTCAAAAGGCATAATAGGTCAAATGTAGGGCACTTTGGAAGGCATGGAAGAATAGGAAAGCAAGGACAATACTTGTTCTCTTCTATTCTGTTTCTAGTCTGTATCACACAGTTCCTTGCTACTCTCAGTTTTCCTATATTTTGTATTAGGAGACAGAAATGGAGGCTCTATCTGTGTAAGGATGAGGGTTGTTGGCTTTTTAATTTTTTTTTCCCCAGTAGAAGTTGTTGCTCCTCATTATCTGCTGTCTTCACTTTGAATAGGAGTCTCCTTTCATTAGTTCCTAACTGTAGGGTATCAGGAAATGCATCTGAAGTTAACCCTTGCCTCCCTGGACCCATCGAATAATTTAGAAAATACTTAAAATTGATCAAGTCTTCTTGACACGTACATGTGTTTTTACTCCAATGTCCTTTGAATTATCATATAAGTATATTTTATTTTCTGTATTACAGGATTAGTATCTATTTATCAGAGAAAATTCCAAAGAGAATAGAGAAGAGAAAAACAGAAAATAAAATTTTACTTGCTGCCTCAACAACCAGGTAGAATCACTGTTGATATTTTGTAGACTGTTTTTTCAGGCATCCTTAAGACACTTACATACTTTTCCTTTAAACAAAATTGGGATTTTGTAGAAAAAATTTCTGAAGTGGAAATGCATGGTCAAAAAACCTGAACATTTATAAACCTTTAAAGCATATCACTAAATTCCCCTTATGCATCAGCGTAGCAATTTATAATTCCACTAGCACTGTGTATACATGGTAGTATTTCTGAATTTGCCAAAATAAGATATTATTCAAAAAATATGTCAATTTGATAGGTGAGCTCTTTCAGTTTTTACAGATTCTTGGTATAATCCTTGGGCTTCTGATTGCCCCTTGGTCCTCTTTTAGCTCAAGATATTCTTCATCTGTGATGCTGTTCTTCCTGCTTGCAACCCTTTTCCTTATCCTAACTTGTTCTGTCTCCTTGAGAGCTGTTTGACAAAGGTTGGCTTTGTCTTATGCATGCAATAGATTTTTCTGTCACTCCTTTTTCTACTCAGAAAGAGGCCTGCTCCTAGCAAGGCCACCATAACTAGGACAGA